CAAGTACCCCTTTGATTACCTTATGATTCGAGGGGAAATAAGGACAGATATATCAATAGGCCCAATCATCATAAACTGGGCAAATATCATCATGGCCTGTTGGTGTAGTGATTAGTGATCCTGATTTCTGAACCAGAGCTCGTGGGTTCCATTCCCACCCAGGACAAAAAATAATTATGTGATGATCGTAATCACTTGTTCTGTGTCTGGGTCTAAGTTCCATAAGACGTATCTATATACAAATACATAAATATGTTTATCAGCAGTTTTGCTTAGCATAGTACAAATTCTGCTTAGTTTGAGATCAGATGACCGTGTGTGAGATGTGTGAGAAAATTAAAAATATTAGTTACAAACTGTCTTTTTATTGAAGTCATCTAAAGCACTTGAAGTATATAAATGGGCTTCCAAGTAAATGTACACACGCGGGACATGAAACGTAAAAACTGCCTGAAAATGAAAAAAGTTTTAGAGATTTTGCTATTCATCTAATGTTTGTATTAAAAAGCATTAGGTACGTCATACCATTAGCATAATTTAAAAAAAGTTATTGTTTCTAAATCCAACGAAATAAATGTTAATTCGTTATAAGGCTGCATTTATTTTAGAATTTACATTTCTTATAAAATAACGAAAAATGTTAAGGTATTAAGGGGGAAAAAATATTTAACCTTCATAATTTCTTGTCGATAATCAAAAAAAAAATAGAATTAAGTTGGTTCTAATATTACTGGGCAGAAGGGTACAGGTAACAGATTGCTTTAGTTTATCTGTGACTTAGTCCTACTCTCCGTTATGATATAAACGTAATTTAGGAAAAAATGTTATTTGATAAAATAGAATAAAGCCTGTAAAATGAACAAAACATAAATATGTAATTTTTCTTAAGTCAGTGTTAGCAACTATTATAATAATATGGAAAACGGTGTATATTAGATGTGTGACTAAAGTTTATTTAAAAAATGTTATGAAAAAGTAATTCCTACTACAGAAAGTGTTAATTGGGAAAAGTTTTCCAATAATGAATTGGAAAACTTTTACAAATCAATACCTTGTGTGGGAATAGAAGACACATTGAGGACATCTCTTGCTTATTTTTCCTATTTGTTACGAGTTCATTATGATGTTAATGAAGTTATAAATGGTTAGATGTCTAGGACTTTACATCACATCATCACACCAAAAGTCTTTAATAATCTACTGCTAGACATAGGGCCTCTTCTCAGAAAGGAGATTTTGACCCACAATAACACGCTGGCAAGACGAGTTGATATAGGGTTTGTTTCAGTTGTCTTTTCGTAGTGCTGTTGTCCTGCGTAGTTTGCTACCTTATTCGGCTCTTACTACACCCACGGGACGAATAGGGATGATGACACTCCGTATTCTTAAACCATCACCAATCGGACTTACGGGAATAGCTAGTTCAAGTTTGAGGTATATGATCTTGACCAGTTTGACCTGTGCTCAAGTTATTACACTCCCCAAATCATCCGTATCAGCGATATTCCTTAACAAACCTTTCTTTCTTTAAATTCACAATTTTTCCATCAATCTCCAAAATGGCCTGATTCACAGCAATAGGCTTGTCTCATATTACGTAAGTCTGACTAATATTATAGTCGGCGAAATGTGGGTTATGAGACCGCCTCTATCTATCCCTTACGGGAATATAGACTTGACTCTATGTATGTATGATGTGAGGTTATAATCAGCCTTAAACGTCGTAAACGTACAGTTAAAAAAGCCCAATGTACTTAATATTTACTTAATATTTATTTAATATTTATATGACCAAATTTGACGCCATTATTACGTCGTTTCTTGATTATATTATCACAGGTCGTAAATTATAATATTACGGCTATATAATTTAATAAATTTAATGTGACTAAAAAACCTAAGGGCATTTATTATATGGAAACAATATTTTAATAGTTATAATTACTTTGCTGTCGATTAACTAGAGTAGAAGATTCACAGAAAATTTTCCAAGCTTCGCCTGGTTATAAGGAGTATTGTTTTGTTCTATCTTAGCACTCTCCTAAGAATTACATACATGTCATCACTTTAATGTGTACAGCAGAGCACCCGGCTGAATCAATAACAGAATGTTCCCTACGCTGTTAAATAAGTATGTGATGACTCATGTTTTTCTTTTTATTTAATGAGTTAAACTTTACTTGAAAAAATATTTTAGCAGATTATCAAAAAACCTACATCTATCATCCTCATAATTCATATCACTTCAGTGAATAGATATTATGTTGGTCAAATTTGAACAGGATTATAAAATCAAAAGGTTAAAGAAATACACAAAATACAATACACAATGTATGTTTATTTATATGATAAAAAATGACGCAACAAACTGTGCTAAACACAGAAAGGAACTCGAAAGGATTCATACATCAAAGTAATATAGAGATCAATGACACAGCTCTAATAAAATTGTTACTCGAATAATCTATAATATCTATCTATTTCACAATGAAACATTTAAAAACTGACTAGAATATCAATACACATATGGTATTATTTAGGTAAATAATTAGACTATTTAATACGAATTACAACAAAATATCCTAAATATAATAAAGAGACAATGAAAAGTAGTTACATGACGTTAACCGTTATTAAGGAAACATCATTTAATCACTTTTAAAAAAAAACTTAAGGCATACTAAAAGTTTTCTGAATTCTGATAAATAAGCCTAGACTATAAGACTTATGATTCAACTATTGTTTTTCAAAGTACATTCCCAATTACACTTACCCAATTTACATTCGCAATTAATGCATTTTTGCATTCGCTGAAACGACTGTACAAAGCCAGTTGGAGACCACGTCTTGCCTTAGGGACTGCTCTTCAATGACTTTTATGAAACGCATTTCAACGCCGATTCAAGGCTCGTAAAACACTGTGCCTCTAAGTATGTCATTCAGGTTTTGGAAACAAAAAAGAAGCCGCAGGGTGTGAGGTCCGGGCTGTAAGGCGGTATGCGTCATCAGTTCCACTTTGAGAGCCTTCAATAGCCCTTCTGTTACCTTAGCAGAATGTGAGGATGCGTTATCGATCGGATGCGGTGAAGGAGGACAGTGCTTCGAGGACGCTTTTCGCGAACTTTTCTCAGACTCTGGGCAAGCAAGTGTTGACATATTAATCTCAAGTCACTGTTATTTGATTTTCAAGCGATACTGTCGTGTAATGTCCTGATTTGCCGAAAAAACGAAGCAACCATGTTTTTACCAATGCTTCGACTGTTCTTAACTTTCGTCGGCAAATCTTCAAAAGGAAACATCCACTCTACCGACCTGGCTTTTTCTTTCGGGTTCAAAGCAATACACCCAGGTTTCGTCACCTGTCACGATATAGAATATGTTATAGGCAGCCAATGACTGTCCTCCGTTAAACTTTTTTATCATTTTACAGTCGTTTCCTGGTTTTCTGTTAAGTCATGTGCTGTCCATCTGAGTGCAAAGCTTTTGAGCCTTCTGATGCACATGTAAAATGTTTTTGAACTTGGCTCATTCCAATGCCTAATAAAGCACGAATTGGCTGGCAAGTAATTTTTTTGTCAGTTTTGTGGCGACTCCCACATACGAAGAAACAGAATCATACTACAGCGCCATCTAACGAAGACACATGAAACTACGCAGTAACTACTGAATGAGAATTGCTAATTCTGTATCGCAATATAAAGAATTCTCTCGCTGATTAACATATATACAAAAATCACATATTTTCCCAAAATCAACTACCTTGCCGTGGTCCGCCAGGCACCGCCAGGCATGATCACCTCGCCTGGTCGGAGGATCCTCCCTTTGTGTTTGGAGGGCCATAACACCCGTCCCTCTACAGTTTCAAAAAGTTGTCGTACGTGTCAATTTTAGAGTCCGTAACCTCAGTCGCAGTCGCCAAACTAAAATGTAACATGTTCCCAAAGAGTTCCATTTTCGAATTTCGTAATTGTTTTCTCATTATTTTATTGTAAGTGGCCAGATCCAGAAACTTTAAGTATGCCCCACGTACGAGTACTGTTACAAGGAACAGATGTAGTCTTAAATCGTAGTTATTCCTAAATTTTATCAAAATATCCGAAAACTGAAGGTGTCTCGAGGTCTAGTATCAATCTGTAAACAATGAAAAATTAGGACATACTGCTTTATGTTATGATCAAACTCTGAATTTATAATTAAAATATTTTTTTTATTACGAAAGGTCATAATTATATTTGACAATATCGTGTACATTATTATAAATTATACCTTCATAAATTACAGACTACAATAACAGGCTCTAGAAATTACTTACAAATGCTTAAAGCAAACAATTCAAAGAACACTTTTAAATAAGACGAAACTCTAACAACCACTTAAAGCTATTCTATGCGTAAAATTAGAAAACGTTTGAGAATACAGCAAATGTTAAGCGTAAAATTATTTTTAGACTTACAGTCTCAGGTCCACTAAATGCATGAGTATCTAAATGCCACCATTTAAATGACAATGCCGATAATTTGATTTATATTATTTAGGTTTCTTATTCTACTATTGAGTATACAATGGACTAGAAAGATACGGAAGTATAAAAGGTCAGTAAAAACACTACAGGGGTCCAAGTGTATAATACAATAAGTTTCTTAAGTATTCATACTTAATATTCTCACTACATCTTTCTTGAAATCGCTTGCTGCGATTTGGTGTCTTACATCTATTACACAATTTCTAAAACATTTATTTTTAAAATCATATCTAATACTTAACTACAATTCGGAGGGTTTTTGGTCACCCACTACCTTTAATATAATTTATGAATGTACTATTTAAAATTTATTTTAATCGAGTAATGACTAGACTATTAAATAAAATCTCTATGTGCTTGGCACAGAATACACTAATAACTTTGTATTTCTTTAGTATTTCTATAAACACTTCCAAAGTATTAGAAACAGTTTAGACCGGGCAAGAAAAACAATAAGCGTAAGATCCATCGTTAGAGTTCAGTCTTCGTTTTTAATAGCTTTCGTTTTCATACATTTACTAACACTGTCATTAGTTATGACACAATTGTTGAATCTGTTGACAACGTCACGCACTTTACCTTTGCTGATGACCAATTCTTTGTCATAAGTTGGAGTTATTAGACCTTTCTCATTACCATTACACATGGGTTTGTTATTTAACAAAGCGAAATTTGCACTTTGAGATTTCTTGAATTCTCTGACAGCATTATCGATATTGTTGATGAGATCTTTTGCAACAAACGTTGCAATTTCGTGTTTGATCCGATCTCTTTCATTTTTTATTTCGAGAGCCCTGTGATTACTCTCTTTTGTGTCGTGTATATTTTGCTCTGGACTATGACTTTGTGTTAGAGAGTGTGATGCAGGGCTATCAGGGCCTTGAAACGTGATGCTTGGGTTATTCACAATATTTGTGTGTACGTTGTTTGAGTGGAAATGATTTTCGGACTGTTTCTCTCCCAATAGCCAGTATGTCGTCATTTTGCCCTTTCCCTGTGAACAAATTTCGTTATTTACCATCAGTTTTCTTTTATTTAATATTTTTTTTATCTAAATATCTCTTTTAAATAAATGTTGGTAAGTTTAATATAATATGGAAATCTTCAATAGCTTTCTACAAAAGTGGTTATTTATCATAACAAATAAATTTGTATAAAGTATTGTGATGGTAATGGTTGGCTTAATTTTCAACAGGTTCTTGTTTGGTAACCTACTTCTTTAAATAGTATAAAATGGAGAGAGTGATTTAAGAGGAAGGTTTATATGTGTTATACAACCATATTATAGTAGAAAAAATCAGAGAATTCCAAAGATTCATGATGTGTTATCCATACATTCTGGTGCACCAGTGCGAAGCCTGTGCTGGTCGCTAGTATAACATATAATTAAAGCTTTTTGTAGATACCATTCCAAAATATTTTCATAATTAGTTATTACCTCTGATCGAGTCCGAAACTAGTCGAATATCCACAAAATACACACGTGAGAAAAACCATTATGATATCATCATCATCATCAGCCTATCGCAGTCCACTGCTAGACATAGGCCTCTCCCATTGCACGCCACTTAGATCGATTAAAATATGATATAAATTATATTTATTACCTTCATTGTAATTTCTCCCCTGCAGTCCAGTCGAAGCAATCGTAAAGGTCCAATACTTCTTTAGTCTTCGGACTGGACATGGATCTTCAAGGCCTCTCCATGAGACTCCATTCTGGATGCGGTATTGACGGTGTCGCCAAAGAGACCAGTATCGGGGCATCTTCAATCCCACAACGCCTGCTACGCACGGACCTGTAGGTAAGTAAAAATATAGAGATCGTTTACACCTGGAACAGTGATTTTATAACTAATTATTGTGGCGAAAAATTAAGTCAGTTCCATCATCATCTTATTTTTTAGTCACACATATTATGATATAAGCAGTTTGTTGGACAATATTGTGGGATTTAGAATGGTTTATTATTTCTAGATAACTCGTCAAATCTTGTAAAAGAATACTGTGATATTGTAATAAACCGTCTATGAATTTGTATGCCATAACAAAACTTGAACTTAAATGTAAAATTATTTAACGATACTTCTACCAACGGGTTTGTTTTGCAAACACAATTTAAGTTGTACAAAACACAACTCAATCAATGAACAAATAAACAGTAAAAAGTAAAGTAAAATTTGTGTATATTATCTATATATACTGTAACTTATGTCTTGTAAACAAGCTTAATAGCTCGGAAGGTAATAACATTGATTTTTTTCGGGAAATTACTCACTCATATACACCTATTGGCATACTTACCACTTCAAATATTGCATATTTATCTGTATAGTTAACAGCGTAAATGAAAAAATTTGTATATATATTTGTAATTGTATTTCTTGTGCTGACTGATTGAGAATACGGAGTGTTACCACCCCTATTCATCCCGTGGGTGTCCTAAGAGCTGACTAAGGGTACAACTCTGCAGGATAACAGCACTGCAAAGAGAAGGAAAACTGAAACAAACCCTATAGAAATCCGTCAGGCCAGCGTGTTACGGTAGGCCAAAACCTTTTTTCTAAGGAGAGGCCTATATCCAGCAGTGATCTATTAAAGCCTGCATAAATATGCAGACATGACAATGAATTGCTCTAGTTGCTGAATAAAGCCACAATCTTTTCTTTTTTTAGTAATGAGATTGAAATGAGATTGAATTGAGTCGTTCAATATTCAGATATTCTAGCCAAGAATAAAATATTTTATTAACTTTTCTGCCAACAAAATACAAAAAATAACAGGGTTTATTTGAAATTGTGAATCAGACTATTGATACGAAAATAGAAAAAAAAAATCTTAGTAAATATTTGATGCGGTTAACAAAAACGCTCTGGGTAAAACAATTTGTTATTGTGGTTTGTTTTGTACTCGTAGTGGCAAATATCAGCTTGTACTTGTGTAGTGTCTGTGCTTCTGCGTAAATTTGACTTGAATATTTCTGACGCATTATTGAGTTTAGTAGTTTATTAAAAACGTACCATTCTGTCGTGATCTCAAATCAATCTCAGAGCAATTTAAGTAAAAAAATATGATTCAAAAAAAATTTCAAATTCTAAACATGTCACAAATGTCCTTGTTAAGTTATTTGGCATATTTACTCTTAATAGTTTTAAAGTCGCTTTCTAATGATTTATGTATAAATATTTATTTTGACAAACACTTAATAAACTAGATAATTAATTTATAGAAAATATGATATTCTGTTCTTATCAACAAAAAAATTGACCTACATTTCATTTAATAAATTAATTAGAAAACTTTCTAAATATAGGGCTTGGCATCCGTAGAAACCAGCTAAAGATTTATTCTTATCTTTTAAGAAGACATCACATACACATAATATCTCAAATTTGATTTGATCTTAAAAAAATATTAGTTCATTTATGAACTAAATCAAATTTTGCAAATCATTCTTAGTAGTGAAAAGGTTAGGTAAGTTGGCAAAACAATCAAGGTTTGTTCTTAATTATGGTACTTATTGTGCTTTAGAATAATAGCCGGTCTTACAATAGAGTAGGTACTAGAAGTGAAAAAAAACTAATTTTGTTGAATCTTTTAGCGTTAGAGCACAATTCTTAAGTTTTTATTTTTAGTAAAACTATTAGAAAAACCTTAAACGAGGATTAATTTTATCGACATATTGATCATTTTTGATTTTACATGCGTTTTCTGGTCTGTTATTTATGATAAAAGCTGGTTAATATCCGACAGAGAAAGCAATATCTTTTCATATATAGTTAGAATTGACACTGCATAAATTTTATGACGATAAACAATATTAACCATTATTAACAATTAAGTTTATAAATACATTTATACTGCATCACTGTTAGTTATTTTAGAGAGTTCAGAGGGTACCTTGTACTACCTAAATTTATCGTATTTATGTAGTACTAAATGCCACAATTACCACACTACGTATTCTATTATTAAAATCCATTTGCGAATGTTGTCTGAAAGAGACCACCACTAGCGATAAAACGATATTTAATTTTTAATATCATTTTCTAATAAAGTTGCACATTAATACTAATATCTTTTATTTACTATATTTAGCTAAGACGTGTCGATGATGTAAATACCACAAATAGAAGCCCGTATCGAAGTAATATTACCGATTAAAACACCTACATCAAATCCAATCCACGCACGAGGACGACACAGGCGGTAGCGTGATAGTTATATTGTAAAAGCGTAGGAAATATGTAATTGCCTGCTACATACATTCATAACATTTTATTTTTAGACTTTTAAAAAAAAGAAACGGACACAAAGAATACCCAGACTCAGAACAACAATTTGTGGATCACACAAAGTGTCGTCCCATGTGGGGATCGGACCCACAACAGCATAGTAGTGAGCGAGCGAGTGAACTACGCCATCCGTGCAGTCATACGGTTTCTGGTTTTACTCACGTGTGTTACATGTAAATGTCCAACTAGCAGTTCATTTCAGGCGCTCTTACTCTTTTCGCTGTTCATCGCTTTATTCTTTTATAAAGACTCCCCATCGAAAACTAGTCTGGTTCTCCAGGAATACATACATAAGTAAGACTTTTTTATCCTTGATAGATATGAATACAACTAACGAAAGTTGTTGTTATAAAAATATCTATAAGTTTCCCTTTCAATTTAATTCCAAATCATTGGAAAGCTTGTAAGGTATATATTGAACAAAATAAGTTAGTTAATACTGGTATATTCAGTTTATATTTGTCCATATTAATACCACTTAGACCGTGTAACATCTACATAGTTAGGTAATCTCAGTGATTGATCTGAAACATTTCGCAATGCGACAAGACGGGAAGATTAATTACGATGTAAAACGGTCTGGCCACGACACGGCCAGATAATCCTAGAGAGCTGTAATCATGTAAAGATAGAGTTTAAACTTTATATTTTAACCTGGTTTCAACCAGCACGATTAATTAGCTAACGCAAAGTAAAGTAAGGTTTAAAAAAGCATTATAAAGTTTTTCTTTCCAATTAGTCTCAAAAACTTTTCTTTTGGCTTGTGAGTTACTTTAATCTTCTTAAACAACAACAAAACAAGTAACACAATATAATGATGATGTTAAACTTTATCACAAGGGGCTTACCGCCATTTAATTGGCAAAAGATTTCATATAAGTGGAACCTTACATTGCATTAAACAACAGAGCAGTCAGTACTTAGAGTAGCAAAATTAAACCTTTGCACATACTTAGTTTGGTTTTGAACATCGAAAAGATCAAGTTTGAAACTCATAAAATTATGAAGTTATCGTTCTACCGTATCTCATTTGCGACCAGTGTTTCTTTATACTTATTTATAAAATATTAGTGATATAAAGACATTTTTTGAGAAGTAGTTTTTTTGTTAAAGAAGAACTTAGAAGCCTATATGCTTCATAAGAGATGTTCTGTAATTTTCAACAACTTGTTGAAAATTACAGAACATCCAAGTAACGTTGATAAGTAAAGATTGCCATTATTTAGTGTCTACCTGTAAGTTAAGCTCTTCTTCTTCAAGGCCTTTTTCCCAAACTAGGTTGGGGTCGGCTTTAAGTCTACTGCGATATGGCTGAACTTCAGTTTTTTTACGCGGAGTGACTGCCATCAAATCCCCACAACCCAAGTACTTGGACCATAAAGAAGTTCTGTAAAAATACTGTTGTTGGGCTTTTTAGGGCTCCAACTACCCGTAACGATTGTCACAGATGTTCGCATGGCAACAGGGCCCTGTAGTTTAGACTGTCATACACATCACATCACATCAACAGCCTATACTAGTCCACTGCTGGACATAGGCCTCTCCTTAGAAAGGAGGTTTTGGCCTACTATACCACGCTGGCCAGACGGGTTGGTATAGGGTCCGAGGGATTTCCACACGTTAAAAAAAAAAAAAAAGGGTTTGTTTCAAGTTTTTCCTTCTCTTTGCAGTGCTGTTGTCCTGCTTAGTTTGCTCCCTTAGTCGGCTCTTACGACACCCACGGGATGAATTGGGGTGGTGACAATTTGTATTCTTAATCCGTCACCACACAGACATACAATAAATAATAATAAATGAAAATGTAGTTTTTTTATAAACAATAATGTAGATATGATACAAGTAGATGTAATACAATTATTTCTAAACTAATATTATAAAGAGGAAAGATTAGGGAAAAACCGGTAATAGGACAACGGGTAGTGAGAATTATCCTTTCGTACTTATCTTTTTCACATAACTTCTAAACGGCTGAACCGATTGGGTTGAAATTTTATATGGATATTTCGTTTGTTTCCTGAATGATTTTAAAAATACAGTTGGACCCATTAGGTGGCGCTGCTGTCGGTATGTCAACTACTAAACTAATGTGTATTTCCATGGTTTCACAGACACGAATGTATTACGTATAAAAAATGTCTCGTAGTATAGGCCTATCATAACAATAGTATAATTAATTACTCCACACTGACACCCCATTAGTAGTATTAGTAGTATCTACATTGCACCCGTGCGAAGCCGGGCGGATCGCTAGTATTCTATATTATTATTTATGGAATAAAGTATAAAAAAATAAAGTAGGGCACCTTCCTTACTTAATTTTTTATTTAGAATAAATCAAGGAACAAATAAAAAACAAACATAAATTAGTCGATCAAAAACTCATTAGACTGAATGCTACCATTTATGTAGATAAATGGTTGTTCGAATTGACGTTACGGAAATTAGATTTTAGTTCAAATAAGATAAATGATTGGAGGATTCAAGAGAATTACATCTGCAAAAATTGCATCTTCTCAATCGAGTATTCACTAGAATGGTTGAAAATATGGTGATTTGAAGTAGACATTTGGAGAAAGTTTAAGAATTCGGTTTAAAACGGACAACTACTGTTATAACATGTACCTTTTAATGAGATCTGATGTTTCTAAGAAATAGACAATTAGATATTTATTAAACTAATTCATTTCGAAAATTAACCTTTTAACTGATCCTTATTGAGGCTGTATCTTCAGTTTAACTTTAACGATTTAATTACGCCTTGGCGTCCAAATTTGCACCATCGTTGGTGCTATCAACAATATTCCTATCCGATTGTTTTGTTTTAAGCCAGATTGATTGTTTTTCTATTTTAAGTATGTAATGTATGATGGCTTTTTTTTTTTGTGATTTGATGATGTCATAGTGCTAAATAGACCACAATGATATGTACCATTGCGTTAAAAAGGTATAAACACTTTTTTTCATAATGTTATTCATCACAAAAGATAATTTGTAAGGAAGGAAGAAGAAAATGACGAGATAACAAACCTGATACTCAAAAGATTTTCTTTTTTACCATTAGAAAAATCAATCGGTTGGACGACCGGTTAGGGTCCTTCCATTCCCTTCCATATCAGCAGGTAATCATTTGGATTAAAGGTATTATGCGAATTCAAACTCATCCTGAGGTTTATTAAGATAATGTCGATAAGTACTATATTTAACCCACTGAGTTTACCACTACTAGTACTACACTTAAAATCTTTAGCTTTATAAGTATGTAATGCTATTTATATTTTGTTTGTAAATTTACGTTTAAAGATAATTCCAGCGAGAACTGCGAAAACCTTCGTTCTCTTAGTGCGAGAATTTTAATTTATTGAATTTTAGATTATAGGATTGATTTATATGTTTTTGTACTTCATTCTCCCATGAAGGGAGGGTAATATATATTTTACTATTTTGTTTTATTTATTTATTGATCTATAAAAATGCCCGAGATTACGTCTATTTAAGACGTAGTTGTTCGGTTTGTTCGATCTTGTATAAAGTTAGTTAGGTATAAAGTTTATTATAATTTTCATTGTGTAATAATTTAAAAAAATCAATTTAAAAAAAACAAGCTTTTCGCCATGCAATTCTCACGTTGTACCTATTCTTAAAGTACTCGTAAACGATTCAGTAGCCATCACACATGCACATATGTATATAATTATTGATATCCAGGAACTTACAAAACAACAATACGGTTATTGAAATACATATTTTTGTCTATTGAGCTTTTTAATTTACCTGTATGCATGCCAATCCTGAGTAGCAGACGTTCACCGCGCCTGTGAGGGACGGTTTTTTGCACGCACAGCATTGAGTAGAAGCCAAGGACATGCGTGCAATCTCTGCTGCATGCCTGTTGCCATTGCGCATGGGTAGACCTGAGACCACCATATACGCGTCGCCTATGGCTCTCCACCTAACGTTAAATTCATAGGATAGACATAAGTATTTTATTTTTAGGGCTCTTAGGGCTAAACGGTAAAAAGGAACCCTTATAAGATCATTTTCTTGTCCGTCTGTCCGTGTGTCACCACCGATTTTCTCAGGAACGGGTAGACCTAGCAAGTTGAAATTTATATCAAACACTACGGCCTATAGTCTCTATTAGGCCTATAAAAATGAAGGTCCTGAGTCAACACGATAAAAAGATATGGGCAAATTTCGATTTTCGCGAAAACTTTACCTTACTTTACCTTTAACTTTAACTTTACTTTACCTTTACTATATTAAGTACCAAAATTTACCTTCATTTTCAACTTTTTTTATTTTTGAGAATTTCCTCTTTACTTATCTGTAAGACCTTGCTTTTAACCAAAATTGACACTTCTAGGTCAACCGGAAGTACCCTATAGGTTTGGGGTCGAAAACCTATATGGTAGTTCCGGTTGACCTAGAATCACGAAATTTGGCAAAAAGAAACGTCTTACAGCACAAATAAAGGAATACTTCCAAAAAATAAAAAAAAGTTTAAAATTAAGATAAATTTGGATGCATACAAATTTTCGCGAAAATCTACGTAAAATCTGGGTAGGTACGGAACCCTCGGCGCACGAGTTCGATTGGTACCTGACCGGTTTTTTTTTACTGTTTATCATTTATTAAAAGAATAATGATACAAACTAAAATGAATGACCAATTGGTCATTTCCGCAATCGTTGCACTTGAGTCACGATCATGTTCTATGTTTTCTTAACTTATAATAATACATTAAAGTTAGATGAAATTATTATGGAAATAAATATATTCATGTCAGAGCTATGCTTGCGCCGAGCAAACAAATAAAATATTTACTAGTAAGGAGAAAAAAACTAAATAACCTTGAACTAAGCTATAAACAAATCATTACACAACATAAATTATAACACTAATAAACGAAAATACGAAAAGGTCAACAAAATTGAGAAGGTGCGGTCCTTCGAAACAAATACGTCCTTGATATAAATAATTCGTTACAAAGGTAAAGCCGGGCGCAAACCAATTAATATTTATTGATGGACCAGCGCTGGAATTAAATACGTCATTATACTATATTGATTACTCTGATGACCTTTTGAAACATGACTGTAAATGTTTTCAGATTCCTTGAACTAGATTTGTATCAATTATGCCATTGACGCTTAATTTAAGCTCCATACAACATAAAATGCTGAGCGTACTTCTTTATTTGAAATGAAGAGAATGTAGAATAATGATGAGCGCGTATATGTACAAAAAGACCGTATAGCGTGTAATACCTGACAAAATCGCCGCAGGACCCTTCACACTTTCAAACTGTCCCCTGTCGGGGAGGTTTAACACTTATCGGACATCCTCAATTTAGATAAGATAAATCGTCAATAGTAATAATTTCACTTTGACCCAGAAGTTGCATGCTCTAACGCAGTCACAGAGTACGTCACATAATAAAACGTTACAACCACATACTACTTCAAATTCAGACTTATTTTATAAAAAACCGGTCAAGTGCGAGTCGAACTCGTGCGCCGAGGTTTCCGTACCTACCCAGATTTGACGTAGATTTTCGCGAAAACTTGTAAGTACCAAAATTGTAAGACCTTGCTTTTTGCCAAATTTCGTGATTGTGACGATTCTAGGTTAATGGGAACTACCGTATAGGTTTTTGACCCAAAAACCTGTAGGGTACTTCAGGTTGACCTAGAATTGTCGATTTTGGTTAAAAGCGAGGTAAAGGAAAAATTCCGAATTTTGGTAAATTTGCCCATATCTTTTTATTGTGTTAACTCAGAACCTTGATTTTTATACACCTAATAGGGGCTATAGACCTCAGTATCTGGTATAAGTTTCAACTTGCTAGATTTACCTGTTCCTGAGAAAATTGGTGTTGACACACGAACAGACAGACGGACAAGAGAGTGATCTTGTAAGGGTTCCTTTTTTACCGTTTGAGGTACGGAGCTCTAAAAACGAAAAAACTACATATAAAACAAACATAATAACTAATCTGGTAGCAGTTTATTAATTATACTAAGAAAAAAAATGGATATTTACTTTAAATTTGTGATTAATTCGAAACATTAAAACGTTGCAAAGGTGTTCAAAACACGTACGTGATATCAGAATTCCAATTACCCACGTGCTCGCATAGCAGTAATACAAATTTATTTTACAACAAACTCTGTAATTTATACTTGCCTTGTAAACATCAAAGTTCTCAATGACTGAATCGAAGCTTGTATACAGATCATTGAGTAGATCCACCACTTCCAGCGGTGTGGACTCAGCTGACAGTTTTGTGAAGCCGATAATATCACTGAAGTATATGGTCACCTGATCATATGTTTCCGCCATTACCGGCTGTCCCATTATTAATTGGGAAGCAACAGACCTGGTGTGGAAAAGGTAAAGTAAATCGATTGCTACTCGTAATTTTATAAAAACAGATCTTTCATCAACAGCTTTTAATAGTCCACTGCTGGACATAGGCCTCTCCTTAGAAAGGAAGTTTAATTAAATACAATTAATCAGATTTGCTATATATGTTATTTGAAATGGAATAGTCAAAATATATCAGAATAGGACTTATCCAAATCTATATTATAAATGTGAAAGTCAGTTCGTTTGATTGTAACGCTTTCACGCCTAAGAAACTAAACCTATTTTTAAAATTCTTTCACCAATGGAAAGCTACATTATCAGCGAGTAACATAGAGTACTTTTTACCAACATATACGTGGGCGGTGCTAATTAAAAAAAATGTTAGAAGAAGTGTTTTAAGATACAGCTGCAAGAGTAAAATCATTTTCTTTACATGATACATGGGCGTGATATCGGAGTTATATTTATTGAGATATCGTTACATTCAGTGTAGTCTAAAACTATACTTCGTACCCACAGATTACCCCCTAATCTAATCAGAATACCCTTAATCTGTAATCTGGTTTCGTACCTATTTAGTTCACTACTCTCTTAACTCGTGGTGGACTAAATATATATATATATATATATAGGTATGTATATAGATAACGATACAACATATAAAAAATTAGCTTACTTTGGTAGCAACTGATACAACAATTCCTCGCATTTCCTCTTCTCCTCGAGATAGTCAGAAGTTCTCTCCTCTACCAAAGCTTCGAGGTTGTTTGCATACTGCTCCACTTGCGTCAGTAACATGTCTAGACGTGTCGAAGTTTCGCAATCTCTGATACAATAAAAAACCGCTTTATAAATATAATCCATTAAATTAAAATATACGAAAGAGTTCATGACAACTTGGGTGCTTATCTTTAACCTATCAGTGTCTGTGATTTTTTATTTTTTACCAGCTGGATCAGCAAATAAAACTTCGTCTCTCTAATTAATAAATTTACCCCGTTTTCGCAAAATTTTTCATTGATGCCCTGCTCTTATTGTTTTGGCATGATATTTTAGAGCCTTTCTTAATAACTGGGCTATCCAACATTAAAATAACTTTTCCATTCAAACCAGTAGTTCCTGAGGTAGGCGCATACTACCAAACAAACAAATAAACTCTTCAGCTGTATTATATTAGTTATAGACTTACGAGAATATAAAATATGTGTATTATTCTCTTAGCTATATCTTTCTTTTATTAATAATATTGTAATTCTGTATTGTAATTAATAAGATATATAGACTCATCTAAATATCTTCGAGAACAGAATTTCGACTTCATCAATATTAATTATCTGAAAAACATATAACTATTGTTTGACCTTTCGATATTCACCTTGATAATTACTATTATTATCCCAATAGAACGCCTTACACAAATGGCCGCCACAGCCAACGTTTATCCGTACTTTATCCTCAAACCACTTTTCATTGGTGATACAAAAACACCCGCTGTGTTGTTATTATAGCCTGAAATAGTCTTGGCAATGAAGTATATACTTCATATACATGTATGTGTATATGAATATTAGTTATTGCTACTAGCTAAAGCCAGATTTCAAAATAATAGACGGTTTGATTCAAGTATGTATTTTGGGTTTACTCGCCTAGTTTCTGTTCAAGAGGGGAAGTTTAGGTCCGGTAAAAAACGAGTATACATATATGTTAAATATAAATATATATGTGTATATATGTAGTCCATGGACTACATATATTTAGATTTAGTAAAAATCTAAATATATGTAGTAAAAGATTAGTTCACTCATGAGTGAACTAATCTTTTACGTCATTATCACACAATACTAAATCTTAAAGCTGATGAATTTGTTTATTTCTTTAATTGAACGTCTTAATCTCAGAAACTACTGCTATTAGTGTTGGGAGGCCGAGAAAGGATATATAACATCACGCTACTACTAATAGGAGCCGAGCATCAAGTGATTAGCAGCACTTCTGAAAACTAATATCACTCTCGTAAGTTTTGGTTCCAATATAACTAAAACTTGTCACTAATAACGTAGTATTGTAAGTACTAACTTGTTGATTCTGTGAATGTTTTCCTTGAGCGCTGAGAAGTCAGGTCGATCGTCATCTGGCAAAGTCCAAGGTGGTTCCCCAGTTAGAGATTGTCGTGGTGATACTGATAGTGGAGATGTGCCTCTGTTGCGCGTCTCGGCGCTACCTGTTATTAAAATAATAGCTAAAACTTTTGACTTATGTTTTTTTTACATTGCAAGAGGTTTTACATATATTTCGGGATATAGTCACATACGAATATGTACTCGCAATTCAGATAAATCATTATGACACGACATAATGTTGATTCGTATCTACTTTTCAAAGGCGAACACGTTGCGTGTTCGTCTAAGTGTTTGTTCTTTTATTAGATTTCATTACAGAATAAATCTGAAAATGTTTTACTATGCAGTTTGTTCAACAAAAATGGTTGCTAACGGTGTAATACAAGTTCAAGTACTATTATAATGTATAAATACAACATCCACACATCATCACGGTGAAAATCACAGCCATAATTTTCACCTAAGGAACAGCCTTTTTCACCTCCCAGGTGCATCTAACAGGCGAACGATACTTTAGGTATTCTAATTTTAATATTGACCATCACATAATTATTTATAGAAAAAAAATATATCTGAATTAAAAAAAAATATGTGAAAACAAACTAACGATGTAATTATAATGGAATTATATTTTGTACATAAACGAACAAATTTTTGTGGTTGTTAATATTGTTTAATTACAACAACCTGTTATTATTTTTACTTTTACAATTAAATCGTTACAATATTTTCTGGCAGTACTCTTTATGTACTTATATTTTTATGTCAAAAATATTTTCGACACAACCTACTAAACTGTTATGTTCTATGAAATATGTAGACGTATATTTAATCGTCACGTAAACATTTGGTCGACTATTATAAAAGTTTATTTTCATAATTTTTTCTATGTGACAAACATATTATAGCGATAACTTCTACTTGCGTATCCCCAGAAATAACTTTTTCGTCGGCGTAGGTTTACAAGTTTTCGATCTTATTGCTTTTTGTTACTTTTTTCTTTTATACTACTGTCATTTTATTAGTTTTTCTTAACTAATCTTTTTATCGTCATTTTTTTTTAATCTTTTAGCTGACTCCTTGAAAAGTTGGTAGCAATTATATACTTACGTTTAAATTTGTCTTCAAGTATAGCCGCGCAGTAATCACAGGCGAGAGTACAATGTGGCCTGCGCATCTCCAGAAGGGGACTAACAGCTCGCCGTGGACTCGGGGAGTCCGCACCCCCCGGTGGCACCAGGGACATGATCTGTTGACAAAATAAAAGGAATACAATATTCTTTATTACACTGTTTTTCCCAAACTAGGTAGGGGTCGGCTTTAAGTGTACGACGATACGGCTTAACTTTGATTTTTTATGCGGAACCACTGCCATCAGACCTCCACAACCCAAGTACTAGGCGATGTCGAGGTTCTGTAGAAAGACTGTTGTCGGACTTTTTAGGGCTCCAACTACCCGTAATGTTCGTATAGCAAACGGGACCGACGGCCGACTGAGGCACGAGGCCTTTCAATATGTTAAGAATGCTCACCCATCGAAAGACTAACCTAACCCAGTATTACTTAGCCACGAGCCCCTTTAATATTCTTTATGATAATACAATTCTTTATTGTACGTAGTAAAGAAATTACAATAGATCCTAAATTTAATGTCAATATTAAGTACCATATTATCGGTTATGTCAACCAGACCATGTTTGGATGGACCAAGTAACAATATGTAAACATTCACATACACAGATACACACATATGTGTGTACAAATATTTAAACAATTTCCTTTATTCATAGAAAACTCGCCTGTAGTACAGAGTCACAACTAGATAGCTAAAACATGAAGCCTTTAGTAATAGGACAGTACAATTACGTATTCAACCTTTATAATCTGATCCTGTGTTTAGGTTATACAATACCTAGTTGCTTTACATTGCTGGTTTTTGAATTGTTATTGTCTATATTTTCTTGCAGATCCCTTATGTAACTAAGCAATGTTTGATAAAGTGTTATTTAAAAGTTGTTAAAATAAATAATGTCCGTGTGCCCTATTCATCCCGTAGGTGTCGTAAGAGCCGACTAAGGGAGCAAACTACGCAGTACAACAGCACTGCAAAGAGAAAGAAAACTTGAAACAAACCCTATGTCAACCCGGCTTGCTAGTATGATAGTAGGCCAAAACCTCCTTTCTAAGGAGAGGCCTATGTCTAGCAGTGGACTATTAAAGGCTGTTAATGAATATAAATAAGGTTGGGCGGCTTTTAAGCCTAAAAGACTTGTCAAAAATTATTTATGCTAATATCCATAGGAACTTTGTACGGCTAAAAAGGCGATGAATGTTTCTCATAAAATTTCTTTGTGCGGAACAAACAAGTAAAGTGATTTGATGTCCTCCATGACATAATATTAACGTTATACTTTATATGGTTCTTCACACATATATAAGTGATATATGATCAAACTGATATCAACTTTCTCTTATCTGTTTCTTGTTTTATTTTACTATATACGTAAATCTACAAAAAAGTTAAGTGTATTACGTCATCATAATTTATGGTAAATGTAACGTTTCAGTACAATTTCTTGTAGGTACGAGTACAAGCTTCACAAAGGAAACAAGATAAAATAGGATCCATTTCCACGACATACCCTATGTGGCAGTTGATTTATTATAGTCGAAAGTACTTTCTAAAAATGTACCGTTCTTTAAGCCTGTCTTGAGATGTGATTTTATAAAACTAATCTACATACTGTGCTTTTTTTAACATTTTGAGGCAAAAATTGTATTTCTTCTGTAGTGTTCTATATTTATTATATTGCGGATCTTCGGATATTTTTAAAATAGTTTTTATGAATGCGATAAACGCAAATGTTTTAGATGTGAAGGGGTTACAAGCATACAAATGTGCCTCTGTCACGCTGGAAAAAGGTCTAAATTCAGCTGACGTAGACCTTTAACTTGATACATAGATGATGATTACAGTTTAGATGTTTTGTATGTGATTATTATGTCACATATTTTGGCTAAGCAAATAGTTAAACCTCTAGATATGACATTAAGTATAAACCTACTGATTCTAAGGTAAAAGACTCAAAGGGAGGTATAGCACTTGGGACTTGAGTTTTTTGGTGTCCATGATGGCGATAGTTACTTTCCATCAAGTGACCCATCTGCTCGATTACCCACGATACCATAAATGAATAATATCCCATGACCGAAACATATGGAATAATAAAAGTACTGACCTTCGACTAAATTTTTCAAGGATATGACAGTTACGCATAACATACATCACGGTTAGAATCGTATAACATTGACGGGGTCAAACAAGTAATAGTCTATAATTCATTGCCAAAACCTGAGAGCCGAAATATAGCTGAATTTGAACATATTAGGTCGAGTCACGCAACGCCCTGTGCGATGACGTATATAAGTATATACATTACAAACTAGTGTTAGAAAAAATACGAATCGAGAACCTTCGCATTAGTGCAGTATGTAGGTATGTGTTTTTATGTATGTAGGTATTTTGCTGTAGTGAAGTGCTCTTTTGGGTTTATGTAGGAGGCTTGAGGTTGTTAAAGCTTTTTTCGACCTCGGTTGACTTCAAACTCGAGTTTATCATAAGACAGTGAAACGAGTATAAAACAAAGAAGTGGAGAAATATTGTGAGGCAACACCACGCCATTTAGAAGCAGCTGCTTGTTTATTAAATTAGTGCAAATTTGAGAGCATCAGTGTTATGTGTGTGTGTGTAGACTATCACTCGTGTATATATAGTATAGTATACATAATTTACAGAAGTCACTGAGAAATAAAAGTATTTATTTTATCTTTCCCTTTCTCCTACGAAATATATATTAATATGAATATTTAGAACCAAAATCATACTACTATATTTAAGTTAAGTGTATTTTTACTGACTTGCATTTGTAGTGGTAGTGATAAGTATGTAGATTTAACCTTTGGTGCTCGCACATTATTAACCAAAATTAATCATACCCTTTGTATTTGTTATTTTTACTTCAATTTATGGCCAATAGAGACATATTTATGTTAGTATTTCACTTAAATTTTCCAAGACCTTATGATAATGAGTAAGGAGTAATGCTGGTATTCTGACACCTTTCGGGAGTTGTAAAATATAACTAATACAGTAACTTTCTATATGATTATAGTTAAAAACATTATATTACGATTGCTGTGTATTTTTTGGCAATTTCAATACACGTAGTCCTCCAGCCAGCCTCCAGCCTTTCATTTTCTAGGGGCTGTAATCATCTGGTCTGGATCATTTTGTGGTCTGATACGGAACTAATTTTATTGTTGTTTTAGAGTGCAGCTTTCCATTTCTCGTCAGCCTGTACCTCCTTATTGCAGACATGGTGTAAAGATATGTTTAAAGTACGTCGTGTTTGTGAAGTAGTTTTGGCGTGAAAGCATAACAAATGAACTTGTTTTAATATTAAGGATATTTATTAGGATAAATTAAACTATTAACAAAAGTTTGTGGCAACAACTAAAAAGAAACCACAACTTTTAAAAAGGTATCGTTTTGCTTACCCAAATAATAGTTTACTATGTTTTAAGAAAACAAACTTTCAACAGAGCAGAAGACCTTACTTATCCAGTTATCAAGCATTTTTGCTATAAAGTTATACATCGAATATGTAGAAATATCTTAAGTGCTTTCACGAAAAAAGATTCTTCCATGCATAAGTCACTTGAACAGATCATATACCATTTTAGATTGTCTTAACCATCATAATTTATACTTACCATGGTCAAAATATCTAGAATTCAAAGCAAAAGCTGTAGGGCATGAAACACGAGGCAGTATATTTGTCCTTACGGCGCATTATCTCAGTGACCCCTTGTTTCAAACTAAAACCAGTATAAACAAAATGAAGCACGTTTGGATCTTGACACGTTTTGAAACTCAGTGTACTTTTTTATCTTGTAGTGTAGTATCAGTATCAGTGTAGGGAAATGAGATGTGTTGGCATGACAACCCGCTTAGATTCAATGCGCATGAGGATATAAATTGTTCGGTTTTGTTTTATTAATTTGCAAAGATTACAGTGACATATAAATTGACTTTACCGTACTTCGTCTTATCTTAGAACACAATAATTTCCAATCCACATTTAAGTTTAGCGTTTGGAATGTCTCTAGAGGCTTCCTATTCCATCTGCGCTACGAAGAGCACTTGGCCAATCAATTCACTGGCTGTGCCGCAAGGTTGAAGCCTTGTTTACTGTAGAGAGTTCTTCCATTATCCAATACAAATAAATAGATTTTGCCATTATGAACTGGTGCAATGCATATTTATACAATTACACACATTAAGTCTTAGTAATATTTGTTTTCGTACAGGTGCAAATTGTAAAAAAATTAGAAGAAAGGAATGGAAAATCTATAATAATAATAAAATCATTAGCATTAGCAATTTCAAGATTATAAATATTTTATCATAAATAAAATTTGCATCTATCGTGCTTGCTTCGGAATAAGTTGTAAGATAATACAGAATGTAACCCAATGTTAAAAAATGTTTAATTATGTTAAATTAACGACTGTTTCCTTAAGGTAAGTTTACTTCACTGAAGCCTTAATTTATTTAAAATTCATATTCGATCTGACTCGAGGTTTTAAGTGTTCGATAACTTTCTGTTATTTAAGATCAGTCGGCGTCTTATGCATCGTGATGTTTTGGAATCATTGAATATAAAAGCTACGCCATAAACAAAGTACTTTATTGTGAATATATAGTAGATATTGACTTATTTGACTTTTAGGTAAAGTAACCGCGAACTGAAATTTGCTCGCTTTTTGTAAGTTGAGGATTTCGATGCTGGCTGTATTAGGAAGTGCTGTCAAATCGGGATTTAAAGGCACACTGTACCTTTTGAATGAGAACTCGTATATCTGTGTCGTCTTGGGATTCAATTCAACTAGATTAAGTTGACCCTAATTTGAAACTTGCTTTAGGGAAGTTGCGATTCTAAACACAAGTTGAATTCAGCTCTCAACGAAGTTTTTCCCGCAGAGGTTAGGAAGGTGTAAAATCTTTTTGGTTTTCCTGCATAACAAATAACATTTAAATAATTTCTATAATTATTATCATGAGTAACAAAAGCCTATTACTATAGCTCTCAAATCCATCTCAGTTTCCAAGAGATTTATTCCTTTTGTTCCTGGAGCTCTCCGCAATTCCCTTAGCGGCTTTCAGTAAAACCCTACACAATGAAAAATTTATAAATAATCCAGGTTAGTTCTGAATTGAATGTAAAATTTTATTAATCGTATTAAAGAAGTCAAGTTAAACATGTTTAATGCTTTTGGTTTAAAGTTTCATAAAGTTTTTCTTTCAATCAGAAAGATTTATTTGACTTTCTAATTTGAAAAATAATTTTTGAAAATACTGATATTAAAAAAAGGTTAAGTATTTACCATTAGTAGTAGTATTTACTATTTCACCAGATGGATGAGGGATATGATTGTGTGTTTAATTAGTGTAAAAATATATATGGAATATCTGAAAATTTAGAAAAAATATTACCTGTATAATTTAATCTTGATAACGTCCCGTTTTAAAAACTTTGAATTTGGAAGAAATATAATAAAAAATATTAATTAAATATTTCTAAATGAATTAATGAAATAAATATTTCTTATCCAGTACAGGGTTTGTCAGAGCTGTGTAGCAAGTACTTCTAAATCAACCTAACGAACAACCATGGTATGGTTACCGGGTTTAGAGGAGCTCAATAAAACCAGGCAGACGTGAAACGCCATCATATTGATAGGTGTGTACCATATCGATGTGTTGATGAGAAATATGTTTATTACATTTGTTACAGAAATTATAATCCTGTGTATCCCCAAGGATGACAGCGTCTGTCTGTTTCTTTTTTCTTCTAAACGACTAGCGTGACTTTTGTTTCTGATCCTACTAGGTATTTTGTCCGAGATTATCTTACTTGTAACTCCGAAGAGCCGCTAAGTGGCCCTGGATGCATTCTAAGGAGGAGAGCAGTTAAGAAGCCAAGAACCTTTACAGATACACACACACACACACATTTTCATATTATGTATTTGAAATTTTATTCTTACTATTGTAGTCTCCAAACTCTTAAATTTTACATTGTTACATATCCGAAATTGGTGCGTCTTATAATTCGCTATAGATACTAGTCTATAAAACAACGAGTACCACTGCTCTGTTATTTATTTTCTTAAACTTGATGTAGTAAAATTGAAATTTGTTATCTGGTTTACGGTTTTGCATGATTATACCACGAGCTCGTAAACAATGTAACAACATACCATAACCAATCTAGTTAATTTTATTACCATAACTTCTATCCATTATGATAGCTTATAGGATATTCAGATAGAGTTTTTTCAGTTCAGTATTAATAAATGGCTTTTATCACATCGCCATAAATAGACTGCTATAATCTTTCACTAAATTTTATAATGTTTGTGACCGTGGTGCTTCCCTATTTAAAAGGGTGTATGCCTATTTAACTTAATTTTTTCCCCCGATTTGCTAAGGAGGGGAGTGGATTTATTATATTTCTAACTCCTTGAATTTTCTTTTGATTAATTTCGTAGTTGCAGTTTCTAAGACAGTTTAATTTGTTTTCCTGAAACTTCCTCTGTACTCGTAGTTCGTGAGTCATTGCTGTTGATCCTGGTGTACAGGAGTTACAGTAGTAGGCGTGTAGGAGAGATAAATCCTATTGAAATACCTTCTGAGGACTTACAATTTACTTACATTAATACTGACTAAAAATATTATCACAACATTTTTGTAAATAGACTTCCTTTATACTAATTTCATATGTCTGTAATTTCGTATTCCATTAAGCAAGCGCGCTAAGAAACCCTAAGCTTCTTAATGAGTCTTGTCTAAGTCATTAAGACTTCGTAAATATTGACATCTACAGACGACTCGACGCGCTAAAAGCAACATCAATGGTTTATTTCGTAAAGCTGAGATAAAACAAATCACCGGTGTCCTAAAGGAAGTAAATTTTTATATTAATTAATTAATGAAAGTTATATTCAAAAAATTAAGAGATGAACCTCTAGAGTAAGGTGAAACATACGTAAAATACTCTACCCTAGACTGGAAGCACAGCTTCAACTTTTTCATCTACAGTTTTTTAGTCTGAGTAGATTTTACTGTGAACAAGACTATGAAAAGAATTAAACCTAGTATCTTCTGAAACATTAAACAAAACAAGACTATATTAAAATAATATATACAGGTAATAAGTTGACTTTTAGTGCGTTTTTTTTAATATTACCTACAATCATTTCATAAAAATAGATTACGTACTTTGGTCTTAGATTTTTTTCTGAATGTAAGCGTGGGCATAAGAAAGTTTAATAGAGAATTCGTATTCCTTTTCCCATAGTCACAGAAATAGCGATATCATAGATATATTGAGCGCTAAGAAAACAAGGAAAGACTATATTTAAAGAACGTCGTAACTATTTAATTATTTTCGTGTTCAAACTTAAGCAGCTACTGGTGATGTAATTCGGAAACCACAAGGCATTCCGAAGCAAGTGCCTCTATTGTAAAACATATCCCAAATAGGAAGTCCCTAAATCCGACCACATATCTTGACAGTACTTTAAACACTTCTAACCCCACCTCACAACTGCTTCTGCAGAAAAGTTAATAAAATTCTCACTCGTTACAACTGGACACAACTCATTTCATCACTCGTTAAACCTCATGCCATATTGAATAATTATCTGCATATTAGCGGACTGCGATTACCTAGCACCATCTATTAGATCCATAATTTTTATCCACCTATAATATAACACATTTCATGTCAAAACTGACAACCATAGAGTAAAACCACGAAGTAATTCCGCCGATTCCGATTAAGTCCGCCTTATGCAATATGTTTGCAGGAAGACTCAATAAATAAATAAATAATTGACTATTTCGTCACTGCCCTAGCTGTATTTTAATGAAAACTTCACGTTTCACGATAAGCAATAAAAATATAACAGTTTTATTATCATTAAGCTCGCGTCGTAATAAAATAATAGAAAAAAGAAATCCTACCCAGGGTTTTTTTTTTGAGAAAAAGGTGATTGCTTTTCTGTCGACTTCAATAAACGAGCAAGTTGTAAAAACAAAAAGTTCGTATACTTGACTGTACTAAAAGAAGGTTCAGAATGTTATTACTGTAAGACGAGTAACCTTGGGTTAAAAATCTTTATAAAAAATCCTTACAAGACTGTTCGACACGCAACCTCGAAGCCATGACATCGTGATTATATAAATAAAATATATGTTTCTTTGTTTGTGATGCTTTCACGCTTCTACAGATCAAGTTCAAGTATCGTCATGTTCAGCATCATAAACTTTTGCACATAAGTCAAGGGCACAGAAAATGAAATAGGGTAGACATCTGAAAGAAAAAGGAAATGTGCTCATAGGATAGTGAAATGATTAACACTAAAATTAGCTAAGCAAATTATTTTATTATTTTATTTCGATTTTTATTTACAATCATTTTGTAGAAACTAACAAGGCACGATTGCAATTTGTCAATCTATTAAATCAAACAAATTGCATTTCCCTATTAGCCACAGGACCGACAACCGTTGGGGTAAACGAGTTCTTGAGTGAGGACCGCATCTCGGCAAACGTAGGGTTGGACACCCACAGGCTAGGTTGAGTGACGATTTGCTTAAGATTGCTGGCAGGAGCTGGATGCGAGAAGGCTAAAATCGATCGAAGTGGC